AGTCCCGGTGGATCGAGCAACGGCCTTGGCACGCCCCAGGGCTTTGGCCTCGGCCCTTCGCCCTTTGGTGCGCCTGGCAACCCCACGGGTGCCCAGCACCAGGCGGCGGCGGCGGGCGCCGAGAGCGATGCCTTCCGCACCGCGCGCGACACGCTGCTGGGCGTCAGCGTGCCGAGCAGCGTCATTGAGGCGGCGACGAGCGGCAGCGCCCTCGACACGAGCTCGACGCCCTCTGGATCCCTCAAGAGCACGCCCAACGACGAGACGGGCCCTCCGCCAGCCTAAGGAAGGGCCAAGACCCTCGCCCCACAAAAAAGCATCCCTGTCCCCCCCTCACCTCTGCCGCCTTCGCATTACACGTACTCCAAGACCTCGTTATTCGTCGCCGTCGTTTGCCCCGACTGGCCCTATTGTGTGTGTAGATAGATTATCGTCGCCGCCGTTTTTGCAAACCTGCAACCAGAACCCAGAAGAGGCGCCGCTGGCGCGCCGTGTTTATTTCGACGATGCCGAGGCTAGAAAAGGCTGTGGCTGTGGACCCTGCCTTGCTTGCTTGGACTGGCGTGGCTGCTGGCGTTGCGGGGCAGCCACACTGTGGCAAGGCCAGGCCAGCACGGCACGGCACCGCGCTGCGCCGCCATCCCCGACTCAACCAACACCAACACCAACACCAACACCAACACCGACACCGGCCACGACACCACGACCACGACCATTCCCACCAGGTGCCCTTAATCCAAAACCATCCGCGCACCGGTCTCTGCCTTTTCTCTCCCGCACTGCGCCTGGCCCGCTTGCCCTCTGCTCCATACGACGCCTCGACTGACCCGGACCCATCCGCCCCAGGATCGCCCCCAGCATGGTCGTCTCGGTATCGCCGCCATCCAAGCACAGGAAGGCCAAGCGCTCCGGCGGGTTGCTCGCCGGATGCCGCTCGACGGCGGCCCTCGACTCGCTGCCCCGCAACGCCCGCGGGCCCAACGCCGCCTTCAACCGACTCCAGGCCCGTGACGCCTTTGCACAGACGCCTGCCTCGTCGGCGTCGGCCCATGAGCTGGGAGCCTTGCCACTCCACGCTCAACAAGACGACGGCGACGAGGCGAGGGACCGCTTCGGGAGCGCTGCCGCTACGACGTCGCCACCTCCGCCAACCGCCCGTCCTCCAGCGAGCAAAGTCAGGCGCTCTCTCAGCCTCAACCGCAGCTCCAGCTCCGGCGCCAACAGCGCCTTGGCCCGGCGGGCGCCACCCGTCAGCTCGTCGGACCTGCCACCCACCAGTTCCGATCTCGACTTCGGCAGCAGTAGCAGAGGCAGAAGCGGAGGCGCTGATACCGGGACGACAGCGACATCACCACGGTTGCCGCCGTCTCAGAGCCTGCCAGGCCCGCAGAGCCCCGGGAGAGAGAGGTATCAGTCCCTTCCCGGGCACTCTGCGATCTCTTCCGACCAGCCCAACCGATCGTCACCTTCCAGTCCGTCGAAGGGTGCAGTCGCGGCGGCGCTGGGCAGTCCCTCTCCCGGAGGGCCCGCACGCAAGCGCGTCGTCGTCAAGAGCATGATTGGCAAACCAACCAACTTCCAGGTGAGTAGTAGTGAGATCGCCGCAGGGCAACGAGGTCCGAACGCGCGGAGACGATCGTTGCTGATGTCGCCGATGCCTGGTCGAATCGAATCTGCGCAGCACACTGGCCACATCGGAGCGGCGTCGTACGGCTCGGCCGTCTCCAGCGCAGCGTCCGAGGCGCTTCAGCTGCAGCTGTCCGAGGTGGCCGCAGCACTCAGGCTCGACGATCCGACCCCTTCCACGGCGGCCGAACCATCTCCGGCCGCCGCCGCAGTCGCACCGAGTGTCGAGGCTCGAGTTGCATCGCCTTCGCCTCGGTCGCGGCCGCTGCCGGTAGCTCCGGCGCGAGCGAGCTCGATCCAGGGCGAGTCGGCTTCGGAGCACGGCTTTGATGGAGTTGCCAGCCCCTCCACCGCATCCTCTCGGCCCCAGACGCCGACGATAGACTCGTTCCGGCCCAGATCTCCGCTAGCAGGATCGACGACGACACCATCCGGATCGCGACCGAGCTCGCCCCTCGGCGTGCTGGCCTCGTCCGCCTCGCCAGGCCAGCCTGGCCTCGCAATGAATGCAGCGGCTGGCGCGAGGCGCCGCAAGCCTGTGCCAAAGGCGCTGCCCGAGCTCGAATTTGAGGCGCGGCACCAGGCCTCTTCTCCAGCGCCAGCGGCGGCAGAGGTGGTGGCTATGGCGCCCTCCGCGACCTCGCCCGATGCTACGGACACGATCGAAGGCTGTCCAGCAGCATCGGAGGCGGCCCCGTCGCTGGCCACAGAGCCGGCCGCTGCATCGGATGCGCAGCTCGGGCGGCAGGTCTCGGTGATGGGCAAGCTGCCGGGCGAGCGCGACTTTGCCAAGTTTGTCCAGCAGGGCTCTCCGGCGAGCCGACGGCTGAACAAGATGTCGTCGATCAAGAACCACCGCGGAGATACGCTGGGCGAAGGCACGCTCAAGCGCTGGGGGCTCGCCGAGGCCTTTGCCGAAAACGGCGCCGGCGCCGCTGCGGGTGAAGATGCGCCGACGGCCGAGGTGGAAGGCCAGGCCCCGCCTGGCTCGGGCGGTCCATCGAAGAAGATGGTCGAGGGTCCGGCAGGCACCTACATCACCGACACGGCCAACGTGCGATGGAATTCGGCCATGGATGAGATCCGCAAGGCGCTGGCCGCCGACGAAGCGGACGAAGCGGAGGACCAAGGGATCCAGGAGGGCATGAAGCTCGCCGACGAGGTGCTCCGGAAGCTCGGCGTCGACGAGGCCACCTGATGGTCCCAGCTGCTTGCTACTTGGGCTTGAGGAACAAGGCGAGAACGCCGATGCCCTCTGTCCCGCTGGAGTTTGGTTGGTGGTAAGGCCTGCGAGTAGAAGGATGGTCGAGGCTGCAAGTCACAGCATGGTAGTGCCGAGCTGGTCTGGCCACCGTGGTCTCCCGCTCTGGCAAGGAGCCCTGGTTCCTATCCCTCTTGGCCCTGCCCATCAATGACCAGCCTCTCGGGCCTCTGTGGACGCGCTGCTCGAGCCCTATCGTGCGCTGACAGCAACGGTGGCCTTGCTTCTGACGTTTGCTTGCTTGCTGTCTCTTGACGTGGGCGAAGGTGTGCGCGTGCGTGATTTCAACGACGAGAAGGGTGTTCAGGGTCCAGAGCGGCGCGGCGCGGTCGGGCTGCAGGCGGCGGCTGTTGTTGTTCTCCAGATCTCTCCTTTCTTCCACCATCCGCCCCGACTTGCCCTCACCCTACCCGCCCATGCCGCCAACGACGCCATCGTCATACGAGGCGGCCGACTCGACGTCGACCATGTCTCAGTCCATCAGCGACATTGTCATCGACACGTCGTCGTCGGCCGACTCGATCGCCGTGGCGAGGCGGCCGCAGCCGGGCTTCCTCTTTCCCGCCGCGCCTCCGCGCACCTCGTCACACGCATCGCCGGTGGCGCCACCCCGGGTGGCCCCCCGCCTGCTCGATCCCTTCACGACGCCCGAAGGCATGCTGGCCGGCCCGTCTTCCTACCTCCAGCGTGCTCCCGTCGGCCATGTCCCGGCGCAAGCGGGACCTTCGCGGTACGGAATCCCGCCCTCGTCGTTCTCGTCTTCCTCGTCGCCGTTCTCTGCACCCGGGGTGGGCCACGTGGGGCCGAGGCAGCAGGGCATCACCCTCCTGACTACACCTTCGGCGCCCACGTCGTTTCCGGTCCACACCACTGCCTCGACGACGGCGGGTGCCAGGGGTCCACCGGCAATGCCACAGCCGCAGCAGCTTCCAGCACTCCCGCCGCCGCCCGCCGCTCCTCGACGACCCGTAGCCGCGGCTAATCCGCGCGAGCAGTATGCCTCGACGCCCGAATCTTCCTTCGATGGCTCCTCGTGGTTCGGCCGCGGTAGAGGGCCTGGAATGCTCGGCCATGGCTATGGGCTTCCTTCCCTCGATGCGGCAGCGCAGGCCGAGGAGCGGCGGGCCCAGCGAGCCGAGCTGGCCAGTAGCCCCTTTGGCTTCCAACGTCGAGAAGATGCCATACCGGCCGGCGACGAAGGAAACGATGCGGCTGTCCAGCGGAGAAGGGTCACGTTCTTTCCACCGGCTCCCCCTGCTTTCGCCCAGGGACAAGGCCAAGGGCACGGCCCACCGCCGGCGTTCGAGACGCCGACAAACATCGGCATGGGGATCGACGAGCGTGGCGTCGCCTTTGCTCAGACCCGGCCTACGGCGGCGGACGCCTCGCTGTCGATCAACACCTCGTCGTCCTACCTCACCGGCACGGGCGCAAGCACCACCGACGGAGGGACCGAGACGGTCGGCGAGAGCCGAGGCCAGGACGACGAGGCCGAGGTGGGCGACGACGGTGACGGTCCGCCGTCCCCGCCGCCGCTGGTCCTGCGCACCTGGAAGGGCGAGACGATGCCGGTGCCGGCCTACCTCATCGAGCCCGATATCGAGGCCATGGCACGCTCGAGCGCTGCGACCCAAGGCGTCCTGGCGACGTTCCTCGGCCTGCGAGCCTTCCACGGCTGGTACGGCCACAGCTACCGAGGCTCTGCATCGCCATCGGCATCGGCATCGGCCGATCGGCAGGGCAGCGACCGTGCCGACGAGAGCGACGACCGGGAAGCCGACGAGTCAACGATCCATCTTTACGACGCCTTTGGCCGGGTGCGGGCCACAGTCTCGACGCCCAAGTATCACCTACGCGGAGGACCCAAACGACCCCTGCCACCGCCGCGGGAGAGCCTGGCAATGCGGAAAAAGGCGGAATTGAGAGCCGTCCAGCGGCGCAACGCTCGATCGCAACGGCTCGACACTTCAACAACGGCGCGCGACGTAGACGGAGTACCCGCCACCCATGGACCGGGCGCGAGAAAGTGGAAAAGCACGATACGGCCCTGGTCGTCGCATCGCCCCGCCGCCTCGACTTCGCTGGGCCTCTCTCAGGCTGATCGGGAAGAGAGAAAGAGGCGAAAGGTTGTCGAGGATACCATGTGCGGTCTGCGCAACGCCGTCCTGTCTGCGGAGGTCGACGACTGGACCCAGCCTCATCCTGCCTTTCAAGGCCGCGGGACCATCTACAGCGCGGATGACGACGACGACGACGACGACGACGACGGGGCGGGTGCGACGGGGTCGCTGTGCGGCTTGCCGATGGTGCCTCCGCTCACCGCCCGGACTAGCGTCTACCGCCTCGAAAGCGCGCAACCGGGCGTCTATCTCTGACTGCTCAGCTCTCCTCGCGCGCCTCCTCTCCGCCTCTTCCGCCCGCTCGCCTGAAGACATGCGCCTGCATCACCACCTGCGGCGCATCTCGTTCCATTGTCAGCGTTGGCCCCCAGACCGCCATGAGCAGCGGCGTCGAATTCCCCCGACCAGCATTGCCCCTGGCCGCAGAACGTTTATGAGATGGAATGGCGACGGAACTGCCCACACCGACCTGTGCACCTCCGGATACGAGCGCCCGGATAAACGGGCAGCAGCTCGCCAAGCCGTCGAGGGCGTGGTCGAGCTTACGAGCTTAACCCCTCGTCTGACTCGTCGAGCAGCGACCAAATGACTCCTCGACGTGGGGAGGGCAGGATACCTTGTCCACGCGAAGCACCCGTGCCCACCTCGATGGCATCGACCTCGTCGGTCGGGTTGAGCCGTGTCTTCGGGACTTGGGCAGCTGCACAGCCCTTGCGGCTGCCTGCCACGACGGCAAAGTCAGGATGCTCTATGCTACAGTACGGGACCGCTGTACCTCGATGACGAGGCTCGGCAAGGATCCGTCGAGGTTTCGGTACACGGTCGGTTCCACGGGCCATTGTTCGCGCCCTGCGATATGTGTCGTCGGGCCGAGCGCGACCGGTGCCGGTTCGCACGACGAGGCGGACGCTTGTCCTTGGCGCGAGGCTGTCGTCGGGCTGCAGGCAGATTGGCCGAGCGACAGCCATGTACCAGCGCCAGTCAGGTCATCGACGTACGTGGCGACGCATTGTCGCTCCATTGTCCCCCGTCGGACGTCGGACGGTGGCTGGATTGCGGCGAGACCAGTGCGCCCGTTCATGTATCCGTCGACTCGGAGCCGACGGCGGGTTCCGAGGCGCGATATGAAGCGATGCCGCCGCCCGTCCTTTGTCCGCCGGACGGACGGACGGACGCGGACGGTCGTTGCCCCCCTTGCGCACTCTGAAGCAGGCGGCTCGGAGAGTTGCCTTTGGTCGACGCTCCATTCTCGCTCTCCCTCCCTGCGAGCGCCGCGTTGGTCTCCGAAAACTCTGCCCACGGTCAAGGAAGAGGACAAATTGCTGGTGGGCGGTTCGGTCAGAGTCATGCTGGGACGGACAGTCGAACCAAGCCGAGCCCAAGCTTGAGCTTTGCCCGGCGTCTGCGTCCGATCTGTGTAAGACCATGCCGACGGAGCGAACCTTGGAGGGGAGGGAGGGGGGAGTGCGCGGTCCAGGCTCTCTCTGCCCTGCTCGTCTTAAGCTCAAAGCAACGGACACGACGAGGGGGAAACAAGGGTCGAAACGGGGGAAAGGGGTGGAGCCTGCCCACGCCGTCTTCGTCGTCGTCGTGGTCTGTAGCGCTCGAAAGAGGCACGACGCCACAGCCACCACCACCAGCAGCGCCACCTGGTAGCGCAGTCAGGCGTCGGCAGCTGCCGCCGCGCCGTCGCCGCCGCCGCCGCCAAGGGCGGGACGCAGGCAGACGTCCCAGACGCCCCTTTCCGTCGTCGCTAGGCTCTGCCTGTCCGTCGCCCCCTTCTACTGCGCGTCGAGGACGACAATGGAGCGATGCCCCGAAGCAAGCTCGCCCCGAGGTCGCGCGTCGTCGTCCCCTCGTACGTGGTCTGCGCTGTGAGCTTGCCCATCTTCATCTGCCGTTGCCCCCCATGCCCATCCACTCGCCTCATTGGCTCAACCAGCCGTCCCCTCCCTTCCTCGTTCAGGCTCACAAGGCTGGACTGGTGCGTGGATCTACATATCCGGGGCGCGGCAATCTCGAGGCGAGTGTGCAAACAGAGAGAGAGGGGTGGTGGCGGCGGGCTGGGTTTTTCCTTTGCTTGGCACGGCGAGCGTAGGGTAATTTATGGTGACGGCGAGGCGGCACCGCCGGGCTGGCTCCGACCCAAAGCGTCAGCGGGCGCTTGGGCGCGTCACCCACCTGTCTCTGTCTGTGGCTCTGCCTCTCTTTCTTTCTCTCCTCCTCCTCCTCCCCCTCGCCCCCTCTCCCTCTCCCTCTCCCTCTCCCTCTCGCGCTCTCACTCTTGCGCCTTTCAGCCACCTCCCCCTTCCCCCCATCCCCCATCGCGATCCTCACGGCCCACCTCCGAACCCGCGGCCAGCCCCATCCCTTCGCCCCGCGCACATCCGATACGGGCCTCATAAGCCTATTTCCTCGCTGACCGCGCCCGCCCGCCCTCCCGCCCGTTCGCCCGCCCACCAACGGCTAGCGCCCTGCCCCGAGGTCGTCGCACTCCTCCACCCTCGCTGCGCGCGAGCCGGGCACACGGAGCGGCCGCGACCGGCGACGGGCTTCCCCCTGGCGATACCTGCG